TGATGGATGGGGAACCTGGGTGGGGGTGGAGCACTGTCTACTCCCCAAGTGGCCAGAAGCCAGTTTCCTCCTCGTAGAGCAGCTGGTTCTCCTTCCTCTTGTGCCGCTGTAGTTACCTGTAGTTAGCTAACATCCTCTGTGCATCCTGCTGATGAAATCCTTGTGCTCCCAGGTGATATTCAGACAAGCTACCTCCTTTTGCAGCTCTCTTGTCTGCTTCCTGAGGGACTCCACCAACAGACACCTCTCTCACTGAGGTGATCTCCTTGCCTTGCTTTTGTTGGCGGGGATGTGCAGGCCTCATTCCCAGAAAGTCAAGACCAGGGCCTGGGTAGAAGCCTCCAGGGTCAGTATGCCCTGGCTGGTGGGGGGCCCCCTCAGGAGCAGACAGAGGAAGAGTTAGTAGTGATGTTGGCAACATGCCATTTTCCTCCCAATGCGCGTTCTTCATTGTAGAGTACTTCCAAGTTAAGGGGGGAGGGAGGGAACCAACATCCTACCTCCTTTTCTCCATCTGCTGGCAAACTCCTTTAGTCTCCCAACTTCCTTCGTCTCGCCAGCCACATGTCTTTTGAACTAAAAGATAACAATTGTAAAAAAATTAGAATGTTAGGAATCTGTATATTGAAGTGTGTATTTACATTTCAGTTAATGTCTTTCACATGATATTGGTTCTACTGTAAAGCTCAGCTAAGTTATATTCCTGATGGTGTTTTTGGCTGATCTATCCTTAATGTGTAAGTATCTTCTCATACAGATTTTCTAAGACTCACTTCTGAAAGTGTACCCTGGTCGCTTTTGTGCATGGCAGACCTGCTATACACTCACGATTCCATTAATATTTGATAATTGTATGGCAAGGGGGAAACTGAGGCACAGAAAGTTTAAGTGATTGGGCCCAGGTTGCACAGGAAGCCTATGTCAGAGCTAGGAGTAGAACCCAGATCTCCTGACTCCTAAGTCTCGTCTACACTACAGGGGGAGATCGATCTAAGTTACGCAACTTCAGCTACGTTATTCATGTTGCTGAAGTTGACGTACTTAGATCCACTTACTGCGAGGTCCACGCTACGTGATGTCGACTGGAGATGCTCTCCCATCGACTCCCCTCGCGTTTCTCGTTCTGGTGACGTACAGGAGTCAATGTGAGAGCGATATGCGGTCGATTTAGTGGATCTTCCCGCTAAATCGACCACCGATGCATCGATTACCACGCATCCAACCCCCAGTAAGTGTAGACAAGGCCCTAGTCTCATTCTTCAACTTCAATGCAATCTCTTTTATGTGCTTGGTAGCTTGGGGCAACACAAAGGTGCTTACGAACATGATGTAAATTTCCACCTGTCAGTGCCTTTCCCTATTACACAAGCACTAAAGCTCAAATGGCTTGAAGCTAACAAGAATCCAAGATTCCTCACTTAAGATTTTTCCACTGTTACACACTCCAGAAGCAAAGCTTTTTTGTTTTTTACAGCTCCTGATCTTTGTAGGATCCCTCCACTTTGACTTGTGATGGTTATTTCTCTCTCCATCAGTATTATCTAGAGCAGTATCATTCTCTAATTCCTTCAGCCCTATTTTCCAGCTTCTGTTGCAGAAGTCGCTATTGCCATGTACCCGATCCCCCAACTTTGTGGCTTACAAAGCTTTTTCCAGGGTACTTCAGTTCTTTTTTCCAATTGCTCACAGTTGATCCCAGCATTTTAATAATTAAACAAGCTTTGATAAACTAAGGCAATAGGGATGGGTGAAAGTGACTGTTTAGCTATGGAACACTAACTTCATGTATCTGTAGTTTGCTCCTGCATGTGCCCCAGCTCTGTTCAAAACCAATTGTAGGCATAGTCCTGTTTCTGATGTTAAAAAGGTGTATACAATCTGTTTGGGATTAGGGGGATCAGAAACTGTTGAAAAAAATCTTCAGGCTTCCATCACTTGATCACTCTTCCCAGAGACATACACACACACAGCCTTCATCCCACTTACTACCTATAAACCATACTACTTTAAGTTAATTAGTCTTCTTTTTTAAAGATCAGAGATATTTAGATGCGTAATACAAAGCATATCTTGTTGTCTTTCACTTTTGTAACCCTCATTCTCCAACTCCCCAACTCCCTTCCCTAGCAGACACACGTGCAATGCCTTTCCATTGATTTCAATGAGCTTTGGATCAGATCCTTAGTTTGATGGCATCGCTCGGTACATTAAGTTTAATTTAGGTTGTTAAAAGTTTGGGGCAGAAGCCTATTATTCTATGTGGCTTAGAAATAATTGTTCTGCATTTTTTGTATCAATACCCCGAAATGTAGATTGTTACTGGAGCATTCATAAGTCATGGATTTTGCTTTCTAAATGCTATGGTGTGTTTGTTCCCACTGCTCCTTTCCTTCCCCCCAATCCCAGCACATGAAACTTACATTGCTACACTGGACATACAGGCTTTGCTGTAAACATTGGGACAGGTCCTGTGTCTCAGTACCTGCTGGAAGCTGAGTGTGTTCGGCAGCTTGGAAGATGGGGCCTACTGTAAACATAGTAGACTTTGAACTCCTAACTTGAAATATTATATGCATTCAGTGGGTCAAAGCAGACTAAGTTTGGCAGAGCCATGAACATGGAGTATGGCTGTGTAGCGATGTTGTCTGCCTCTTTGCTGGAAGTGGACATGATTATATTTTAGGATACTTCATACAGATTCTGCTGTTTCTGTATGTATGGGTTGAAGATCTTCATATGGAATATTTCCGGTAATGTTAGGAAAAGGTTTATCGTTCTAGTTGAGCAGCAATACATGCCTTTAATTAGCAGTGACAGAGGGATCTCAGTCCAGAAATCCAGCCTGCAAACAAAATAGTTAAAATCTGAAGGAGTTCTGACCTTCATTCTTTCCCTTATACTCTTTCATTGTCTTTGGATTTCTCAGCAACAGGAGCATTTATCTGACTTGATCTTAATCCATTTATATACCCTTAAGAGCCACTAAAGCTGAGAAATAAATGAATTAAGGCTGGAATATAATCGGGTCCAAACTAATTATAGAGTGTTTTGATTGAACTTGTGGCATTGTCCCTATTTGTAGGAAAATTCACCACATCAGAATAGTGTGTGTTTTTGAAAGAAAACTAATGGAAGTTGTATTGCCAACTGCAGTATATTTCTACCAGTATATGTGCCTATTGGTCATCAAGTCTGGCTGAATTTTTTTTAATGTATTTTAATGTATTTAATGTATGGACAGTTATCATGAGATAAACAGATGGTCATTGACCTGACTAAATACATATTCTTAAGGGTGTCAGGATAGGCATAGATTGCTGTCATAAGACCGCAGCATAATTTGCATAAATTTAATATGATATGTGTGGTTCAGACAGGACAACATTAGTAAGAGTTTGTCTTCATTCCCCATAGGAACTCCCATTTTCTAGATTAATTTTGAATTTCTTTAGGCTAAAACATGGGATATGCTAGCTCAGCAAAAAACTATTTGGCTTATTTAAATACATTTTAGACAGGTAGGCCTTAATATGCTCTTGGTTGGTTTTTGGGTGGGAAAATGTTTTACATTTGGGGGATAATAGTTTGCATAGCAGTACTTTCTCAGAATCTTTTTTAAAGCTGCAATCAGGGTAGACCAGGGTATGTGCAGTGAAAGAGATGATACTTTTGGAACTTGAGGGGGCTAGCTCTACTGAAAGAAAACAGTTCCTCTAATGTTGCAACAGGAGGTGTAGGAATACCTGCATTATATTGAGTACTTCTGTAGGAGGTTACAAATTAGTATTTCATCAAAGAAAATAAATGTATTGTAAACTTTACACTGAAGCCATATATATTCATATAATTAATCCACTTACAGAATAGATGTGGTTGCAGTTCCTATTGCAAAGCAGCTAAAACAATAATAAATATTGGGCAAAGAGAGTTTAGATCTCGACAACACACAATTAAAAATACAATCAGCGGTCATCTGTTGGCTCTTGAAATCAAGTTTACAAATGTAGTTTCATGTTAAAATTGTTTGCTCTGTCCCCATTGACAAGCCAAATCATGACATAAACTGTTTTAGCTGGAACACTTTCCAGACTATTGTCACGGAGTCCCCGGGTGATGCTCTGGAACTGCTCCCCACAAAGCCAGTCAGGACTTTGGGGAGCCTCCTCTCCCATGGAGCAGACTATCTTCAGGGCAAGAAACTCACACGGCTTCACCTCCCGGGTCTCTCCTGGGAGCATTTAGCATATGCCCCTCCGTGCGCTTCCCACAGCGAGTCTGCCCAGGCAGGGTCCTGGGGAAACCAGAGGGCCCTGCACGCATCCCCACTTCGCAGTTAGACGTGACTCTTAGCCAGCCAGTAAAACAGAGGTTTATTAGATGACAGGAACACGGTCTAAAACGGGGCTTGTCGGTCCAGCGAACGGGACCCCTCCGCCGGGTCCATTCTGGGGCCCAGCGAGCCCGACACCCCCATCTGCCCTCACTCCTAGTCCCCAGCCAACTCCAAACTGAAAACCCCCTCCAGCCCTCCTCCTCTGGGCTTTGTCTCTTTCCCGGGCCAGGAGGTCACCTGATCTCTTTGTTCACCTTTAGCTATTTCCTTACAAGGGGGAAGGGTCCTGGCCATTTGTTGCTAGGAGACAGAGGGTCGGTGATTTATGCACACTGGCCTTTATCCCACCACCTAGAGGCTTAAGAAATGCACTGGGGAAACTGAGGCACCCACACAGTATTAGGGGAAACATTAAGAACAGTCCCACTTCGTCACAACTATTTAACCCAGTTTCCATCTGCAGTGGCTGTAAGCTCTGTGCATATGGGCCGCAGTCTTTAGTTATGAACTGTCTACAGAAACTTGTAGAATTAATTAAGTGTAATACCTTGTATTTTTGAAGGCACAAAATCTAAAATTATTCTTAAACGATCAGGTAAATATTTTCATTTGTTAAAACATGACAAATAAATATAGCAATATATACGGCATTTTTGTCTCCTGCCAGGTGGTACAATACCTTCTATTACTCCAGAAAAATCTTCCTTAGTTGTGAATAGCGGACAAGAAGTAAGACTGAGATGCAACGATGATGGTCCAGTGACTTGGGATTTTCAGAACTCAGACCCTTCAGGAAAGCCAAGACATTTCAGGAATAAGGAGTGGAACATAAAAAATGCATCAGCCAAAGATACAGGCAGATACATATGCAAAAACAAAGAGAGTTTGAACACCTCCATTTATGTTTTTGTTAAAGGTAAATTTGTATGTGTATTTTTCCCCTCTTCCCTTCCAAAGCACATAATTGGAGTCAGGTATCTGGTGTGTCCCTTTGCTTATGAATACTCGGAAACTGTAGTAAAGCTGTTTACATTGTATTCCAAATTCATGAGGAATCCATGGCCAGAGATGAGACACTAGATGGGTAGGTTCTCTGAGTTACTACAGTCTGTAAATCATGATTTGAGGACTGCAGTAACTCAGCCGGAGTTATGGGTCTATTACAGGAGTGGATGGGTGAGGTTCTGCGGCCTGGCATGTGCAGGAGGTCGGACGATGGTCCTTTCTGGCCTTAAAGTCTATGACTGTAGTGTATCAGCACATTAAGAATCAAAATTATTTGTAATTGGATTGTCTGGTAAGATCAGGTAAAGAAAAGACTTAAGCCCAAATAAAAATAATAATTATTAATAATAAATAGTCCTAGCAGGAACTTAATATATTTAAAATAACACAACATATTTCAGCAATGTTCAGCAACACCAGGGGATGAGAAATGGTGTAACACATACAGGGAGAAGTTAGGAATTTACATTAGACTATGCTTGCTAGGGTCATTGTAGTCACAGAAAGTTTTTGGTAGCGTTTCCATATAAATCTTCATTGTTATGTACAAAAACTTGGCTTCTGGAAGGAGAATTTGGATACCATTTTAAAAAATCAGCTAAAATCATTTGGGTGGATTGTTCCCTTATTTCTTCCTTAATTTTATTCTTTGTAGAATTTTAAAAATTATTATTCTTTACATCCACTAGTCTATAATCACTAAAGGTTTGACCCCACCCTCTGACTTACTGAGGCAGTTTGTTACAAATGTTAGTACCTAAACACTCCTTTGTAAAAGCCAGTGGGTAACAAAGAATCCTCTTGCATGCAGCCTCTGTTTTAGTGCAGGCAGCTCTGACTAACTCTTGTACACCTTTCTGTAGTGGGTACCTGCAGAAAGGTGTAAAAGAGTGATACTTTTTCTTGAACTGCTATTGCCTTTTACCCTCCTCTGTCTTTTCCTCCGGTTTTCCTCCCTTCTGTGACCTGTTGGATTCTGACAGATGGCCTCATTGGCTCTCAGCCAACTTTGCCAACTTACGCCTCAAGGGGGTATGGCTCAGCTGATTTCCAGGGCAACCCATTCTCTTGCCTGAGCCCATGTGGCTCAGGCTGCCCTCTTTTCCTGTTGGTGGGGTGGGTTTTTTGTTTGTTTGTTTTTTTGCGTGGCCTTTTCTGTTGCAACTAGTGTTTCTCTTTCTCCACCTCCAGCCAGTAGTCCCTGTGAGAGATGAGGGAAGTTGCTTAGTGACCTGCTAATCCTTCTGGAACTGCTCCACAAGGACAGAGGAGCCAGCACAGCCTGGCAGGGGATTTTCTCCAGATGGAACATTCTCAAAGGTAGTCTATGTGGTCCTGTGGCGTTTCTGAAGAAATGCAAAGCTATGAAGTCCTCAGAACAGCCATCCTTCTATCATGGATAAATTTCTTCCTCTTCTTCACTTCACAATGCCAGGACAAGGTCTAACCATCCAGGTGACCTGACCAAAAAGTTAACCTAAAACTCTGGAACCCCTCTTCCCGTGAAATGCATGCAGACTTTCAGTGAGAACATACTATGTTGGGTTCCTTTAGACCTTATGACCTGTGTATGAACAGATGTATTCTTCATCCCACCCACCCACCGACCCATTTACAATCTGCCTTCAAACCACATCAGCTGTCTGAGACCAAGAGCTCAGTGGTAGTGCTTGACTTTGCTACCTCTCTAGTTCCGTACCAGCTTTCTCCCTATCATCTTATCCATCCAGTAACCTGGAAGCCTTGGAGGCCATTCAGATGTTCTCTAGCACTGGGGACATTTCTCTTGTTTCTTCCTCAGAGCAAGTCATACTTTTGTTTCTCATGGATCATGACAAATGAAGTCAGACATGCCAATACCAGTATGTGACGGACACATTAGAGCTTTATCTATCACACAGATTTTCTTAAACCTCATGGTAGCCATCATAACCAACTTTGATGAGGAAGGCATTCATATTTCCCTTAAAAGAATGACCTACTAGTGGGATACTCTTCACCTCAGAATGGCAGATAGCAAACTAGTGCTGTCAAATGAACATGGTTTGGCAATGAATTATAGAGAAGCTTTCTGACCCTCACACAAGACTTGGTTAACCACTTTGTCAAATTCCTAACTCACTGGGACAAATAGGCTTCTGGAGGTAAAACAAATATTTTTTCAAGGCATGCCATGTTCCTGGAGTGTTGTGTGGCATGCCCTTCAAATCCTAGGCTTGATGACGTCCTACGCAGACGTAAGGACAGTACAGAGCATTCAACTCTACATGAAACACTATCCGGCTTTCCTTTTACACAGTTAGGATGCATAGGAGAACAGGAACAATATGGTTATGTCTCCAAAAAATGTCCTCTGTTTGCTACAATGGTTGATATCGACATCACAATTTCACCATCAGGATTTCTATAGCTGCTATGCCAGCCTTCAAAGGCAAAGAGTAATATAGACTAATCATCAGTCTTTCAGAGCTTGGGTCATTCATGACCCACACACTCTTTATTCCTTGATCAGAAATCATGCAGTGTTGATAGACAACAGGACAATGACCACCTATTTAAACATGTGGTAGCAAGGAACTTACAACTTCATTGTCTAGATGAAGGCAATTATTAACCCCTTCCAAGTAAATAAAATGGAGGACAATCATCTCAGACACTTTTATATAAAAGGCAAGCTGGGTGAATACAATTATAAGCAACTCATTTTGTGTTGGAGGAGCAGGAGTACTGGCCAACATGTTGGTGGGGTGAGATGTGGGAGTGAGGAACGTATATGTGTAATCCTTTCAGGTGTCTTCATTCCCTTAGACAAATTGATTTATGCCATCCCATCTTTCCTTCCCCATTTCCAGAATGATCTAGGAAGATTGTACAGGATCAAGCCTGGGTAATTCTGCTCACTTCCACCCTGGCTTTGACACCAATTCCAGCTGTCTGTGAACCAGCTGTTAGTTCACTTATCACACATCCAAGGACCTCTTTTTCCTAGGGAACCCTCCTGCACCTGAACCCATCCTGGATGAAGTTGACTAGGAGGAAACTAATTGCTTAAGCCTTTGCCAGCATGGATTATTCATGAGTTCATTCAGATTGTCTTCTGGTTTTGGAGGGATTCAGTGCTTCTGTGTATGCTACCATCTTATTTGGAACCCATTAAACTCTTGGTGCAGGACAGTAAGCCTACAGTAAGGGTCTTGCCCTGAGCTGCTTTTGCGTTCATTTTTTTTTGGGGGGGGGGGGTGGTTCTGCCACTTGAAAAGAAGCACAGTTAATGCTATGTCTTCATATTGCAACTAGGCCAGTGGGCTCAATGTCACTTTATCCTTCCACAGAATGTTACGGATTAGATGTTCTTTCCTCAGCTGACTCCATCTCTCACTGCAAAGTTCTCTAGGCTACAGATCTTTAAAGTATACAGTATAAGTAAAACAAGCTTAAAATGTGCTATTTATTCTTGTTTTGGTTAAACAATATGCTATGCTCTTGTTTTCTTCTTTCTATCCTCATTGTGGGTCTCTATTTTCTGGTGCTAGTTCTTAAGTCCCTGTAGTGATTTCAGGATAGTGGATGTAAAAGTTACATGAAGACCAACTTAAATAAAAGGAGCAAAACTTGTTCTAATTCTACTCCTCCAATGTGAACTATAGCCCGGGGCAGTGGTATGGAAGATGGGGGCATAAATAAACTTTGACAGTCATTGTAAAATCTCTTAATTTTTTTATTTTCAATATTGTTGGACAAATTATTAGTATTTTAAAATTAGCAGCTAGCATGGACTTCAGCTTTGGTTATAAAATACTTAATACATTAGATATTACTGTACTGTAGATTGACTGACATGAAAAATTTTAAGCAGTCATACAGAATAATTACATCATAATTTTTCAATACTATGGATTAACCAGATGCTTATGTAAATACCCCAATATTTTCAGGGAGAGAGAACTTTGGTATTTCCTCTGGTAGCAATATGTGTTCATTTAGATTGTCTCTTTTAGAAGTGAAAATTATAATTGAGGTTGCAGTTCAACTTTCACTTGCTCATACATTTCTCAGAAATTCTCCTTCTGGGCATGAAACTCGATAAACCTGGTCTCAGCTCAGAGGTGATTTTTTTAATAGTCTGAGCAAAATCTGTTCTGGCATTTTTTGAGTTAGATAAGAAGGAAATAATAATTTCTTCTCTTTAAAGATAAAAGAAAAAATAAGAATTTTTTCTTTCACAAAACTCTCAAGTGATGGAGTTTTAAAACTATTGCACCTTAGCATAGTGCACAGTCAGAAAATATGGAAGTTTTCTAAAATTCTATTAGCAACATTAACTTAGTAAACTTGAATTGACACAGTATTCAGAATATTAGTAAAATGTATAATTTAATGTATTCTTTGTGCAATCTGACAGAGTTTGGTTTTTTGGAACCTTAACTTGTACAATTCCTGACTTTTTAACATATTTGTCTTCTTTACAGATCCACATATCCTTTTCCTTACTGACTCTGACCCTTTCATCTATGTAAACGAGGACAGTGATGCTCTTGTGGTGTGTCCAGTGACAGATCCAGATGTTTCACATTTCACCTTGAAATTATGTGGTGGCAAACCATTCCCCGAGAATTTGACATTTATTTCCAATCCCCAGAAAGGAATCACTATCAAACATGTACAAAGATCATTTAAAGGGTGCTACCAATGTTCAGCAAAACAAAATGGAGTTGAGACAATTTCAGAAAATAAATACCTGATTGTAAGGCCAGGTAAATGCACTTTTTTCCCCTCTGCATGCATATGGGCATTCATCTGAACAAAACAGATTGATGAACACTGCTGCGAATACTCTCCTAAGAAACACTAATGGATCTTGAACTTATCACTGTTTTTCATAGAAAGATTTGATTTAATAATGCAAGTTTAGGATTACTAGATTTTTTTCATATAATAAAACAGAATACATTTTAAAATATAGTCATAAATAGGTGCCTGTTTGAGGTTTTGGTAGCTGGGTGGATAGGTTGCAGGGGTTTCGGAGCTTGTTCCAGATCTGGAATTTGGTAGAGTGGTGTGTGTGTGTTTGTGTTTGAAGGGACAAGAGAAGAGGTGTCACATAAAGGTTGACAGTGAGGATCTTAGAAAGGTTTGGCAAACTCCCTGCTGATTTTGGGTAGTTCTGTGGATTCTAAAAGAAATTTGGGGACCCAGGCTTTTCTGAGCCCTGCTCCAGTGCTGACACTCGTCTTCAATGCTGGCTTTCTAATTCATTTGCTTTGTTAAAACTTATTGTATTCAATAGATTTGGACAGGTCTGTCCTGTTAAACCAGAAGACTAGGACACCTCATCACCTTACTGTTATCTGTATAATTGAAATTGGAAGAACTGATAATACATTCTGTTTAACAAAATGTAGTAAGCTAACAAATACAGTTTCTCACAACTGAAGTAAGGTGTGTGTGTGTGTGAGAGAGAGAGAGAGAGAGAGAGAGAGAGAGAGAAGCTGTGTGGTAGGGGAAGGAGGGAATGGAACAATCTTATTTTCTTCATGGGTGAAAAAAGGTAGGTATAAAAATCTTGTCCTCTAATTTTGAATGGGACATCACTGGTAAAGCTGCCATTTGTTATTGTTTACCTCTTATCTGCCTCTTGAATTTTAAGCCCTTTTAGACAGATCTTTTATTTAACCTTCTAATGACATTGTATGTTAGCAAATTGTTGTAAATCAGTTTGGAGAGAAGGAAGTATAAGCCTAATTAATGAAAGCGCCTAAAATATATTAACGATTGAGGTGCACATCTTTTTAAGGTTTAAATAGCTTGCCCAAGTTCACTCTCCAAAGGTGTGGTAGAACCAGGAATAAAATCCAGAGCTCCGCATATCAGCCTGCTGTTTTCACCACTTGTAGTCCAGAAGTGGAGAGTTCAATTCCACTGGCACAAGAGTCAAATAAGAAAAGTTCTATATAAGAGCTAGGTATTATATTAGCAATAAGCGGGAAGAAAAACAAACCAAAATCAGGAAAGAACAGGTGAAAGAATATTTAGATAAGTATTCAAGTTGGCAGGATCTGGTGAAATTCACCGTAGTGTTCTTAAAGAACTAGCTGAAGCAATCTTGGAATCGTTAGCGATTATCTTTTAGAGCTCATGTAGGATTGGTAAGGTCCCAGAGGACTGGAGAAGGTCAAACATACTACCTACCTTTCAAAAGGGGAACAAAAAGGACCCGGGAATTTTAGAGTTTGATAACTGGAAACATACTGGAACAGATTATTAAACAATCAGTTTATAAGCACCCAGAAGATAATAGAATTATATGGAATAGCCAACATGAATTTGCCAAGAACAAATCATGCCAAACCAAACCATTTTCCTTCTTTGATAGGATTATTGGCCTAGTGGATAGGGTGGAAGTAGTAGATGTGATATATCTTGGTTTTAGTAAAGCTTTTCACACAGTCCCACATGAAAATTCTCATAAGCAAACTGGTGCAGAACTGATTGAAAGACCATACTCCCAAAAATAGTTATCAATGGTTCTCTGTCAAACTGTGGGGGATGTACCTAATCAGGTCCCTCAGTGGTCTGTCCTGGGTCTGTTACTATTCAGTATTTTTCATTAATGACTTGGGTAATGAAGTGGAGACTGTGCTTATAAACTTTTCAGATGACAACATGCGGGAAGGGGCTACAAGCACTTTGGAGGACAGGATTAGAATTCAGAATGACCTGACAAATCAGCGAATTGGTCTGAAATCATCAAGATGAAATTCAATAAAAACAAGTGCAAATTACTACACTAAGGAAGGAAAAATCAAAGGCACAGCTGCAAAATGGGGAATAACTGGCTAGGTGATACTACTACTGAAAACGATCTGGGGTTTATGGTGAATCTCAAATTAAATATGAGTCAAAAATGTGATGTAGTTGCAAAAAAGGCTAATATCATTCTGGGGTATATTAACAGGCGTATCATATGTAAGCCACAGAAGGCAATCGTCCCACACTACTTGGCATTGTTGAGGCCTCAGTTGTATATTGTGTGCAGTTCTGGGTGCCACACTTTAAGAAAGATGTGGACAAATTGGAGAGAGTCCAGAGTAGAGCAACAACAATGATCAAAGATTTAGAAAACCTGACCTATCAGGAAAGGTTTAAAAATGGCATATTTAGTCTTGAGAAAAGACCCCCTCCCTAATATTAAATATTATATTATATTATAAAGACTGAGCTGGGACCTGATAACAGTTTTCAAAATATGTTAAGGGCTGTTATAAAGAAGATGGTGATCAATTGTTCTCCGTGTCCTCTGAAGGTAGGTTAGATAACTGGAAAAATTTCTAACTATAAGGATAGTTAATCTTTGGAATAGGCTTGTAAAGTACACTATGGAACCCCTCACATTAGAGATATTTAAGAACAGGCTGGACAAACACCTGTCAGGGACAGTCTAGGTATACTTGGGTCTGCAGCTGCACAGAGGGTTGGATTAGATGACTTCTCATGGTCCCTTCCACCCCTATATTTCTATGATTCTATTATTATTATTATTTATTATACTATAGTACAAGAGACAATTTAGAGGAAGGATTGGGGGAAAATGTTGAAGCAACAAAAGAGAAAATTAAAGGAGGAAATTGAAAAGCTTTAGATATTACAGATAAATACATAGGTACTCAATCCTCAGATAGTGTAAATTGTCATTACTTGATTGAGTTCAGCACAACTACACCAACTTAAAACAGCTGTGTATCTAGCCTACTAAGTCAGTAACACATCACCAAAGCCATCTCATTTGGCAACCTTGTCAGTCTTGATGAAGACCTACATTCTCCCCTTTGTTATCATCCATCTCAGGCAGAGTTAAGGCCCATTGTCTGGGTGGTGTGGTAAAATCAAGCACTGTCATTCCCTATGCAGTTCCTGTCCTTTGGCTAAGTGGAGATCTTTCAGCTTTTAGGGCATTCAGTTAGACTTTTTTCAAGAGCACTAAATTTACTTAGACATTTTATATTTAAGAAATTGCATTTAATTTCAAGATGCAATTCCTTAGTGACCTAATTCTAACTGGTTTTAGTTGTAGACTTCAGCAGGTTCATCATTGTCATAGAATGAGTTACCTGATTGATAGTTAAATACTGTCCACATTTATCCATGTGACTTGCATTTATCCATGTGACTTGAGTAGATCTAAGTGTTTCCTAACTTTAAGTATAGGTTAAAAGGGGACAAAATCGAAATATACTTAGCATGAAAACACTACTCTAATATATTGCAGAGATTTGAATGCCTCTAAGAGGTCTGAATTTTGTTGGAAGGTTAATGACTTGTTGATTTTTATCTCTCTTGGAAGCTCTGAATGTAATGAAAAATAATGCACTTATAAATTGTTTTCCAGTTCACAAAGCCCTCCCTGTTATCGCCTTATCCAAACCCAGCCAGCTTCTCAAAGAAGGGGAAGAATTTGAAGTTACATGCACAATAAGAGATGTAGATAGTTCGTTGAAAGCTAATTGGATTCCTCAAAATAACACGGTGAGATCATTTAAGTTTTAAAACACAGTCTAAAAAACAACAGGACCTTAGAAAGGCATTTATGTCAGTATTCTTTGAAAATAAAACTTCTGCGAAGATATGTACATGTTTATCTCAAGTAAGTAACATTTGGCCCATTTCAGTTTACCTCCATTCCTTACTTAGGGCAGTACTGGGACTTGTCCTTACAACACCATGCATGCCAAAGAGGGGGCACCAGGCACACTCCTGCTGTTCTCTGTGGGCTACTTGCATCATTGATCACAGCCCCGGGGAAGAGCAACTTCCACATACCCAGTGTTTTCAAATCTGGGTGCCTGACGTTAGGCTCTTAAATCTGAAGATCAGCCTGCCTATATTGGCGTACCTAAATACAGAACTACTGAGCACCCACAAATTCCATTGATCTCAACGGGAGCGGCAAGATCTCAGCAGCATTGAAGAGTTTGGCCATAGTTTATAAAAGTACCTGCAGTTCCCAAACTGGTTGTTGTTGGTAATAAGACCTACTACTACTCCTGCAGCATACAATCCCACGTTAATTGGCAGGTCTTTTACTGTTAATGGTAGTGACTGGAATACATAATTTGCTGTTCATGTGTGTATAGAAAAATACCTTCTGTGATATTGTAATGATAGATAAATCATACAACCTCAGGCAAATATGACCTGGATACTGACTCTCTCGGGTTCTCTATGCCATTCCTAACTAATCCATTGATGCTGGCAGAGTTTCTATCACTAAGTGCGTATCTATTGGGAAATCCCAGCTCACAGCTTCAAGAGTTAAAGCCTAAATAACATGTAGGCAGTATGGTACTTGCAGATGGGGCTTTTGGTTCTTTGCCAAGGTTAACTATAAATCTTGCATTTGAGCACTTTTATTTTCTTGTTTGATTGCAGTAAGGTCAGGATCTTTTCTCGACCACATTTTTTCATGCTATATTGGTTTACATCTTTATGAAGAAAAATCCACAAGAAAAATATTTTTGACCAAATAAGTTTGACCTTTCAGTCTTGTTTAGTAAATATCAGGGGAAGCAATCATTTAAATATTGAATGTCAAATTAAATTTTGTATTGGAATGACTAAAATACATAACATTAATGAGTTTAAATAGAGGCAGAATTGCATATTGGCCTGAATAGGTCAAAGTGAAAAATGTTCACTGCTTCCCTGATCACTAATAGTAGCTGTTGCTGCTTTTGAAAAATCAGTAGAAGATCTGTTCTAAACAACCACTTCCATATAAAACTTAACTTATAAAATATTAATGATAAAGAGGCCAAAAGTCATAACTGTGTTAAATGGATAAAACACCTGGAAATCTCTAACACCTCTCCAAATGAAAACATTTTCATTAGAACATCTGAAAAAATATTTCAACACTATGCTTTGATCTAATTTCAAATGACAAGTCATCCCAATTTAATAGTAGATTGCCACAAAAAACTAAAAGCACTTACTACCCAACCATATCATGAGATCCCACCTAAAATCTTTCTTCAGCTCCCAGACCATACCCCCTAGATACAACTTCCAACATATTAAGTGTTTGAGGGGAAAAAATGGCTTTCCAGTTTGCCCAGAAGGTTAATAAATCCAGATGCTTGCGGATCAAAGAGGGAAATGTAGTCCAAAGCTGAGGACCCCTCACCGAGCAGCCTACTGACAGCTCCCTGTCGTGTGTGTTGAGAGAGCTCCTTGCTGATCACCACTGCTGAACTCAGCTGTGATAGAAAGACCCAAGAGAGAAGTGGTGCCTCTTCTCAAGCTCTAGGAGGACTTGGCAGTTTAAAATTAGCACCTTAAACTCTACCTGGAACTTTGCTGAGAGCCAGAGCAACTCTTGGGGTAATGTTTTTTTACATGCTGTTTGATGCACCAACCGTCAGCCCAACAGCCACATTCTGTGCTAGCTTCAACTTCCAAGCAACATCAAAGTGAAATTCAGTGCGGAGGTCTCATCTAGTCTCCACACAGAAGGACTAGAAACGTTATTTTTAATATGAATGGAAGTTTGCTTTCTGCAGAACCTGAATCTTTCCTGGTGCTGGAAAATTACCTCCAGTGAACTGGCCTTGGCCCACTGACACAAACACCAATATTTGGGGAAATTTGGATTTGAACTTTGTGGTTTTGGCCCATTTCTAATGATCTGGTACTCTTCAGACATGTGAACAAACTAGATCCCCTGCCTGAGGACTATTAATAAAATCTAATTGCAAGGTGCCATGTGCCTGTAGCTCCCATTGAAACCATTTGGAGTTGAGGGTGCTCAGCATCCAATAAAATGGGGCTCTCATTTAGAGAGAGCTAGCCCAGTGAAACCCAACAGACTAAGGGTATAGGAGTGGGATTTGAGGAGGAGAGGCAATAAAGAACATGGGAAAGAGAATACAGCTTTGGGAAGAGCATTATTTTTCACAGAGAATTGATCATGTAGTTGTTTTGTATGGAGATGTTCCAGTGACAGGTTTGTCACGAAGGCTTATTATTCCGGTTTAAAGTTATGAATATTAATGTTGTGAAGTTATAATTACTTCTATTTTTAATTTATCTAGGAAGGCTGCTGCATACACAGTATTTTAGATGTTAATTGTTTTTTTCCGACAGACTGTTAAAAGCAAAAGCAAGAATATCGGTGATTATGAATATGAAAGGAAATTAACATTGAGCATCCGTTCAGTGGGAGTTAATGATTCTGGAGCATTCACATGCCAAGCAAGAAACTCTTTTGGATCATCCAATGTCACAATAACCTTGAACGTACTAGGTAAATAATTCTTAAAGAAATACAACATTTCTAAGAGCTGGAAAGAGAAAATGCAAAGTAAACATCCTTTGCAATATGGAAGGTTATTATTAAAAAGGTATTGCAGACTGGGGATATGTTGAAAAAGAAAGATTAAAGCTTTAGAGTGTATCACTTCTTTAATGACTGTAACCTACTCTTTGTCAATCAAATGTGATCTTGCATAGAAGAGCAACCTCAACAATGTTTGCATCTCTCTGGTTTGTGTGCTCTTAACTGGTTTAATTTTAAAACTATTTCAGTCTTAATGAAGCACAAAACTTCCCTTTCTTCATCTACTCACCCATCTTTGTATGGAACCATCTTCTGGAATCTTACCTCCTGCTGTGGGTCTTGCCTCAGCCCATCTTGATAATGTGCAGAGTTATTACTAGTCCCACACAAATTTGTCTTACATTATTCCCATGCTCTATAGTGCTGGCAGAGCAAATATAAAACAGGTCTTCACTACCCATATTCCATGTATAGGAAATTGATTTTCTGTTACATGCATTCGTGTGTTAATATGTTTTGTGTAGGAGAAGCCACACTCTGAACTCTGTTTAAAAGAATAATTGGGAGAATTTTTATAAAATTACAAGTACAATTTATTTATTTATTTTCTGTACAGCATTATAGCATAAAATACATGGTCTTGATTCAAAGCCCACTGAAATCAGTAGAAAGACTCCCATCCATTGACTTCAATGGGCTTTGGATCACACCCTTTAAGAGCAAGCAGATCTTCTTACTCTACCCCTTTTAGTAACAGGCTGTGCTGAGAAGACTATTTAGATCCCAAATGCCCTGTATTAATTTGTATGACAAGCCGTACTTTTAAAATATTAAAATCACAGTTAAGTGCTAATTTGCTAAACTGATAAAGGAGCATATTGATGTAGTTAGTAAGAGAATTTTGAATAATTCCAAGTTACTAGCTAAAAGATTTTCGGTTCCTCTGCTTCCGTGAATGTAGAAATTGGAAAAAAAATAATCTAGCTGTGAAACCTCAATATTTCTTGATGTAGTGGTTACTCTGTTGTCATCTTTTTTTCCCCCTTTTAAAACAGTTTTCTTTCACAAATACCATTGCAAAACTGTTTGCATGGTTCTCCCTAGTAACTCAAGGAAAGCAGAAATAAGATAAGTGTTTGAATCAGATTCTGAGCTGGTGTAAATCAGCACAGCTCCATTGGTTTTCATGCAGTTACACCTATTCACACCGGTTGAAGATCTGGCCTATAATTTTGATGTATGTTTTGCTCTATTGCTATACATGAAACTAAATTGTTATATAAAGTAAACTAATGAGTACTGAAGCAATGTTAAGTATTAAAGAATAGAATCTTTTACAAAGAGCAGGGCTTGGGGAAATAAGAAAGTTTATTATAAGGGAAGGGAGACTGTTCAATACAGAGCCTATACTCCAAATCCAAATGAGTTTGCTGAATTGGTTCACTCAGAATAGTTTTGTGAAATATGGGAGAAAAAAACAGTTGCTCTGTGCATACTTGCTTTATTAAATGCAATGAGCATAGCACTATAAAACATAAATATTTTTACAAGGAAAAAATACTTATGTGTTATGCTTAATAAAAAAATAAAGTTCTTAATCAGTTAAAAGCTGGAATTTTTCATTTTCAAAACAATATGTTTTTGGTTTCCTTGAGTTTCACCTACAATAAACTAAACAATCTGTCCTGGACTCTTTTACTGTTAATTGACAAAATAGGTTATTGCTTTTCTTTACTGTTCCAACTCCTAGGATCAAAGAAGTGAAATATAGGGGGGGGAAAACTGAGAGATCTTTGAGATTGTATCAGACACTAAATTAACACACCTTTTGACATTAACCAAAAGGCTTGGAAGAAATAATAGCTATGTTGATGAATCTACTGATATATATATTTTTGAAAACAGGTTGATTTCTGTAAAATACAAGCAATTACTAAAATTCTGTTTTGGGTATTGGCAGTTTAATCATTGAATTTTATTTGAAATGTCTCAGATACAATCTTGAACTTAATAAGGTTCCAAGATGTATTGAATGAACAACAAATATATCCAGAGTTAATGCAAAACAAGAGTTTGCAATGGGATAAAAACCTCATGTTTCGGGGTTTAAACACATTTCTAACTAGGAGGGAGCAGGTTGTATCATACCTGCTTGCTTGTTGGGCTTCTTACATATTCCTCTGAAGCATTCTGACCACTATCAGAGACACGATACTGGACTAGATGGACCACAGGCTTGATCTGGTACAACAGTTCCTGTGTTCCTATTTTGAAATTTTCATGGCTCTGCACTTTCAGACTTCTGTTTTCACAGAGTCCCACTGACTTTATTATGGCTTTAGTACATGGGTCCAACCAGGCAGAACAATTTGGAAGCGTGCGGGCCCCAAGTTCTAACTTTTGGTCTAACTTAAATGATAGCTATTGTGGATCAGGAACAAGCAGTAAACCACTTTCTGCCAAGTGATCTGAAACTGACAATGCACATATGAATAAATATGGAATTGAAAATTTGTCTTTTAAAGAGGGTAGTATTAAAGCTGATGAGCTTATTAACTAAAAGAAAATCATTTCAGTAAATATATTGCACTACATGATATTTTAGAAGATAAATTAATGGTGATAAACGGTATGTCCCAAATAAAGTTTAAGACACAATAGTAGATGAACAGAAATGCCTTCGTTTAGAAGGATTGGTATCCAGACCTGTGAACTTAGTGCATATGTCATTAATTACAGTTTTTGATAGTTTCACTTGTAATTAAGAATGATACGACAGTGAAACATTAAGTACACGGTAGCAAAAACTCAAGGTATATTGTCACAAACAATCAATTTATCTTGCATTTGTTGTCAACATTTCGTCTCCAGCAAACAGTCAAGGGCTTCAATTACGGAAACATTTAAGTACGTGAGTAAAATTTAAGCATGTACTCAATTTATCCAAGAGCATGGTCAGGATATTTCAATTTATTACCAGAAGATTAAATTACTTCTGCTAAAGCAACTGTAGGTTTGCCAACCATGGCTGCTGTAAGTTGTTTGGTTGTTGCTCTCTTTTGCAGCCAAGGCTTCATTCCCATATGTAGCTAGTGGACTTGGTTTTAGCAGGTGAGAGTTCAGAGTATACTTCTTAGATAAGGTTTCCTGTCTCACAGCTTGATCTTGGACCACTGACCTGGAATTAGTAAATAGTGTAATAGAATATTGAAGGATTGGGTAAAAATTGCCTTTAAAATTGATTTTTTTTTCTTATTATGGCAATCAGATAAAGGATTTGTCAATGTGTCCACTACGAAGAATACAACAGTAGATGTGAATGCTGGGGAAAATCTAAATTTAATAGTTGAGTATGAGGCGTATCCAAGACCAGAAGAAGAAGTGTGGTTGTATATGAATGAAACATTACACAATTCATCTGATCACTATGTCAAATTCAAGACTGTGGGCAATAACAGGTAATATGAGTAATTATAAGCATGACTGATTTAATTTGAGACAGCTACTGGAATCTTCCAACAGAAGATGAGGGTGGGGAGATGCAAAAGAAATTATTCCCTTGCCCCCAATCCCAAAAGGACTGGGGAAAGAGAAATGCCAAAGAAATCCTCCTGTCACAGGGCAGGATGCTGGCTTATTATGCCATGAGGTGCTTATTTTCAACTTTGTGGTATGGGAGAACCATTCTTGCTGCTCCTGGTGCTGTTTTACTGTGGATGATGGCATAGATGCTCATCTGTTTGTGCATAATCATGCCCTCTCTGTGGTCACTGTGTTGTGCCAGGTGTGGTCACTGTGTTGTGCCAGCTGAGTATATCTGCTAGCACACTCTTGTGGACCATGGCTGTATACCTTCTAAACCCTCATAGTGTGCATATTGCTGCTTATGCAAAACCTTTCGGGCTCTTTCCCCACTTTTTTCCCTGTATAGGCAAGGGCAAGATTTAGCCCTAAGAGAGCTTTAAATATAATAAAATGTGGGTTTCAGCATAAACTGTGACATAAACAGTCTGAATATTTACATTCAGAATATCTTTAAATTAACTTCATCACTAAGCAACTGGCCTTCGATGCACTTAGTGAGTAACAAATGTGGTAATGTTTAATTTCCCTGTCTTTGCAGATACAGGAGTGAACTTCACCTTACCCGATTAAAAGGAACAGAAGGAGGCATTTACACATTCTTTGTATCCAATTCTGATGCCAAGTCCTCTCTAACATTTAATGTCTATGTGAACAGTAAGTAAAATGAACAGTCTGAAATCTTTTATTATCACAGACGTATTTTACCAAATTAAACGCATGTACAAGATGTCACAGTATGGTTCAGCATAGGAGACAATGTTTAATACAAAGTAAAGTCTGTAAAACTATATAAATATCAAGATATAAAAGAACAGAGTACTTATGCAGATACATTTTATGTCATTCCTGATCTTAAATTCTATGGAATACACCTCGCTAATGATCATAGGAGGTGAATTCTGGGGGTTAAGTGTTGAACAATTTTAAAATACTGATCCGGTGAGTTTATATGCGGGAAAAAAATCTGTAGAACCTGGAAACTTGGCCTCAGAAAACAACTATGTCCCATACCCCACCGATAATTAAGGGTGGTGTATGATACTCTAGCCTCCATAGCCTAACAAAAAATGCAGATAAGAATCCAATTTAGCGTATTAATTGCATACATTTGTTTGAACTACATGCCAATGTTGAAATCTTGACAAGGGGATTGCACCCATTGACGTGCATGGTAGCATCTTGGCAGTCTCATTACATCTGCAAAATAATGTAGATGGTGTGTTTTCAAAAAGGCCGACATAACTTTAGAAGTGTGTATGTTGTCATTCCCAAGCAAAAGTTATATAAAAATTCCAGAGTGTTAGTTTAGATGCAAAACAGCATTCTTCAAGACAAAAGTGCAGGGTAGGAAATGAAACCATTAGTAAGCTCTGGCCTTCCTAATTAAGCCATCCTGTAAGAATTTCATGGTCTAAGCAAGCAAAAAATGGCACGTAGCAAGACCAAATTTAACAAAAATCAAAGCAATAGAGGATCACAAGCAAAATGGAGGAAGCTAAGGAAAACAGGAGAGGCACTGCAAGCTGAATGGCAAAAGGAATAACTTGGTAGTATTAACATGTTAAAAAATGTGAGAGCATTATCCATAATATAGAAATGTAAATTTACATCAAATCCTATCCTATTTATTTGTTTTAATTACAAAATATTGCTCTCTAGAGATGAATTACAGTTTTTAGTCAAGACTATTTCTTTAGGATACAATAATTGTATTAAATGTTCAGCACTAATTACTGAATTGCTCCCATGTGTTGCTGGGTGTTAACATTTGAGTTTTACACAGTATCACCATTCACAATATCATAGCACATTACCAATTATGCCACTTGGGAACTAAAGGAATTGTGAGTTATATACGTGGCCATCAGTTCTTGTGAACCTGATGGGATCTCTCCGATTTGGGATGTCATATCTGTCTGCCAGAAGTAGCCTGTCAGTTCTTCACAGCAAGTGCTCCAGGGTTCTGAGACTGAATGTAGGCACTCCAGGTTAACAAAGCAGTTCAGTAATAGGTAGCAGGTTAGGAACTATTTGGCTGAGTATTACTTAGTGGCTGCTGTCATGGTCACTTCTACAGCTGTGGCATCAGATAAAATAAATGCCTTCTGACTGAGTTTGTCTGGAGCTGCTTGTGTTTACAGCCACCAGTATTCAAGTCTCCTTCCTTTTTGTTTCAACAGTTAATGGGAGTTGAGGGTTTTTAGCCACCTCAAAGGAGGCATGCATCACCTCACAGGAAACGTTGCAACAGTGCATGGATTGCAAATTTTTTATTTGCTTAAAAAAAGGTTTTTTTGGAATTTTAAATAAATAAAATAAATAATTTCTATTGGTCTTTCATATTTTACAAGCTTTCTGGTAAATTTGGCCTGCCAATGTTTTCTGACAGTTTTTTTTTCCATGCATTTTAGCTTCTTTGTTCAGACATGTCTTTTTAAATTTTAGTTTTATTTTTAGAGAGTATATAAATTGTTCATTTCTTCTCAATATGAAAGACAAACAAAATAATTACATAAACCTATATTTAAAGTAGTTTGATTAATAAATAGATAACTAACTGTCATTCCAGTGCTTTATAATGCCTGAGGGCCAGATCCTGGTCTCGTTCTGTTTGCAGAACTCTCATTGAAGTCAATGAGAGTTGTGCTTAAATTGTCAGGATATAGCTTCTAATGTTTGTGCATCTGACTTTGGCAGCAGATACTAATTAAACATGAAAAAACTGGATTCATAATCAGGAGGAGAATCTGTTTATTTTATTTTTTAAAAAGTTTCCATTTTGAATCATTTGTCAAAAGATATGAAACTCTGTGCAAAACTATCTGCACTGGATTAAAATAAGTTTGGCAGGAGGATATGTTAAACTCAAGTAATACAGAATTGCTAAATAAAGGCTTTGGGTCACAGTAAGCACCACATAAATTAATTTAAGAAGGAGGGAGCTTTGAAATAAAGAGCCAAAGATAAAAATATAAATTGACAAACAGCATGCTGAAGGGAATAACAATTAAGAAATGATAGAAATCTTCAGACTAGCAACTAAAGTCCAGCTAGAAATTAGTGAAGACTTTTTCTAACTTAAATAAAGGTTTCATGACAATCAACAAAGTATTATATATGCAGTTCAGGATGATGCTACAGGTGGGAACTAATCAGGTTACCACCATGATGTTACAAATCACATGATGCTAGAGTCAACAGATTCCCAGATATCAGAAAGCCCTACTGAAAATATAGGGAGTATGTGGAAAGTCACCATGATATTTTAAAGAGACTAATTCAAATCCAGAAACTGGAGCTGTAGGAAGAAAATCCTCTTCCAGTGACTACAGTGATAGACAATGGCAATAGAAGTGTTACTTTTAGATATTTATTTTCCTCTGTTAATGATGAAGGAAAAAGAAATTGGTAATAAAAGTAATTAAATGAACAATGTTAATGGCTAGACTGTCGAGTTATAAACAGTAGTGGCATCTTTAGTTCCTCTTTACTATGTTTGGAATCAACATCAATAAGAGCTGAAAAACAGTTAATAAACTTAATGAAATTAGAGATTTAAAGCATTTAATGACTGATTATTGAAGGGAATATGCAAGTATGCAGAACAATTTAATGAAACATTAAATAATTAACATGTTATAGCCAAAGCAGTAAGCAACATATAATCATTAAAATCCTATCTGATTTTAAATTAAGGATAATTAGATATTGGAAGTCATAAAACTAACCATAATAAAATATTTCTCAGAATAGGATAACTTAATGAGAAACTCTGTGTCCACACTTGCCAAAGCTAGTCCACATTTGAGTCTATTTACTCTACATTCATTTGACAACTGATGAGGCTCCTTACTGCATTAAATAAGAGGAATCTAGAGGGAACTGAATAGCAGTGGAAGAGGCTAGCCCGGAAAAAAACAAACTGCTTACAGACTCTGGGACTGATATCTGGTTTTTAGGTCCAGTCATCTCTTCTCATGAGGATTCTCCCAACTAACACCAGTGTGTTGTCAGCATGAAGCTAGATATTATTATTATTTTTATTATTTATTATTATACAGGGATCCTGGTTCTGATCTCACTTGTTATTCCATTATGTTAAATGGAGTTACTCTAGAGTCTTCTTTGAAGTGCTTGCTCATGTCCATTCCATTGTAGGTGTGTGTGCTTGCCACATGCACCAGTGCCAGAAGTTTTTTCCTCAGTGGTATCCGTACGGGCCAGCTCTGGTGCCCTCTGGAGTGGCACACGTATGCACCGGTATAAGGGGCGCCGGTGGCTCCCCCCTCCCTCAGTTCCTTCTTACCGCCAGTGATGGTGCTGGAACATCTCCTTGCCTTATTTCTCTCAACTGTGCCTAGTTGCGAACTTTTTGCATATAGTTGTTAAAAACTTTGATAGCTGTATAGTTCCCTTAGTGTAGAGTTAGTAATAGTTTGTTAGTCCCGAACAGGACTTAACCTAGGGACGGGGCATGCCCCCGTCTCCGGGCTTCAAACCTTGTGACTGTTGCAAGAAACCCAAGCCAGTAAGTGATCCCCATAGAAGCTGTCTGAAGTGTTTAGGGGGACCCACGTTAGCAACAAGTGTTGCATTGGCAAGAGCTTCAGACCATGGACCAAAAAGGAGCACACCGCTGGCACCGGCCTCATACCGGCACTGATCTCCATCCCCAGTACTGGCTAAAAAGCAAAGAAAGTTCTCCTACGTCTCGTAAAGGGAAGGAGAGAGCCGGAGGAGAGCTAAGACCCGCGCGGGGCAGCTCTTCCCTTCCAGACATTGACCAGGCTCCATTTCCCATTGAGCTGTTGAGCCCGCTTTCAGACCCGCCCACCACCCCGGGAAGTGGTAGAGGCATTCGGCACCTGGCGGTTCCATTCACGCCAGAGGCTTTTCAGGCCGCTAAGGACATACTGTCCTTGCCAGTGCCACCCACGGAAGTGCCCCATTAGAGGGGTAAACCTGCCTTGGGACTCTTCCAACGGTCCCCATCAGTGCAGCACCGCTCCTCGCCGCAGGAGGTGCCCCATCAGCGCGCGCCTGAACAGCGCCACCAGCCCCCCGGATGTGGGTCGGTTTGCCTGCCAGAGTTCCCAGCGTCGGTCCCCGGACTCTAGGCAGCATTCCTTGGGCTCTAGGTGTCGATTGCCAGCAAGCTGGTGCAGACCCGCAGAGGCACGACACCAGTCCCCAGATCCCCGGTGCTGGGAGCGCCTGAGCTGCTCTCCCAGCTCACGGCACCGTTCCGGAAGGTTGAGACACCAGTCCCCGGAGACCCATCACCAGTTGCTGGATCGCCAGTACAGTTCACCTCGGGCACGTCAACGGTCTCCAACACGTCAATCTTCTCGCTCCTGTTCCTGCTCCTGATCTATGAGGCGGCACCGCTCGCTAAGCGTAAGGCATCGATCTCCAGGGTACCATTGCCGATCCACCAAACGCTGCCACTGGTCGCTGACGACACCAAGAGCCATCGCTTCCATACAGGTCCTCAATGGAGGTCTGCAGCCAGAGCCGACAGAATCAGGGTAGGCAGGCAGCCTCAGTACCGTCCTAGTCCCGCAGACAAGTCTCTTCTTCCTCGGGCTCGGACAGCGAGGATTAGACCCTGCCCGCAGGCCAGAGCTACCCATCAGGGGCATCGGCATTCCTCG